TTTGCTCATGACTCTGTTATTTATGGACCGATTTTGGAGATTTTAAATAGTAAACTTCTCGAAAAAATATCTGGCAGAATTGTTGAAGATTTGAGTTTCAAAAATATTTGAGTTCTTCAGAAAATTGATATCAACAAACATACAGACGGATAGACAGACAGACAGAAAGACAGACAGACAGACAGACAGACAGACAGACAGACAGACAGACAGACAGACAGACAGACATATAGATGGAAATTTAAAAACAAATTTTCACAGAACCTTCCTCCATGTCTTGCAGTAATTATAGGCTATTATTTACCTCGAAATTTCAAGTAGACGAGATGCCACGCCCACATACCAAATAAAGATTCAAATTTATTTATATGGACAATTTTTACTATATTTTTGCTATAGTGGGCGTGGCATGAAAATTTAGGTTAAACATTACACATATATAGAGTAAAATAAGTTAGAATGTATAGCGATATGATAGCCTATACAAATTGCGGCCTATAGCGTGCGCACAAGGTTTACATGGAAACACAGACAGACTGACAGATAGACAGATAGACAGACAGACAGACAGTCAGACGGACACACTTTCAGATGTGTGTAGGACCAATAGTTTTGGGTGTTACAAACATCAGCATTACTCTAATTTATTACTTTAAGAACCTCTGATTTTGTACCAGTATAAGCAATGGATTGTTTCATATAAACACAATAAAGTAATATATACATATATATTTTTGTACAAAAAAAAAAAAAAGATGAAAGAAATCATCTTTGTTAAATAAAACACACTAGTGGCCTTAAACGCACACAAACACACACACACCTTCTCAAACTCAAACACTCCACTCACACTACTTTAAGAGGAGGCAACAAGGCAAGACAAAAATAAAAAACAACAACGAGCTTATTTAATTTGCATAATTTGTAGGAGTATTTGTTAAAACATCTTTTGTGTCTTGGTTGTTTTTTTTTTTTTTTTTTGTTGGTGTTCAAAGTCTTCATTTTCAGTTTCTCGGAACCAAACAATTCATTCATATATTGTATGAAACTAAAAGACTACGTTTAGGTATGGAAAAACAAGAACAACAGGATCATCATACATATAAGATTCCACATGGGTTTGTGGGAGTATTGGTTGAAACAGTTTAGGGTGTAGGGGTTGGGGGTGGTAGTTGAGTGCAAGAAGTATAAAGTTTCAACACATCTCTATTACAGTTACCATCGTTATCGGTGTAATTCACTGCATATTACTTTTAATCTTAAGAATATTTTCTTCATTCATTCGTTGGTTCGTTTAGCGTTTGTTTTTTTTACGCTTTTTCTTCGTTTTGCTTGATGTTGTATTGTTGCTATTATCTGGCGTTTAGTAATTTTTAATTAAGTTTGTTTCTTATTTTATCCAGTTTCTTTTTCTTGTTTAAACATGTTTAGCTGGCTGGTTGGTTGCTTGGTTGTTTGGTTTGCTGTAAACTTGCTTGGATCGTTGACTACAAGGCTGGTTTGGGCTGACTTGCTGGAATCTAATGATGAGCTAAATATAATTTTCCTTTTATCAGACCTTTTTGCTCCTTTTTAACGGCCCAACTCTAACAAGAGTGAAAATTAAATCTAAACAAATGCTGAACAAAATATACCACAAAATTTCTTTTACTTTTTTTTTTTTACTTTCCTGTACGAGTATTTTTACTTTTTCTGGGAAAAATCAAGTAAATAAGAAAGAAATTATAATGAAAACAAGAAAATTATAATAAAAAAAATTCAAAAAAGAAAGATAACAAAAAACCATATGAAATGTAGCAAAACTCGACAATTAAAGTAAGTGTTTCTCAAGAGATGCTACTCGAAGTTATTATACCCTCCATTAAGACTATTGCTTACAATTTTCTTCAAAGAAAACAACCATTTTGGTGTTTGTTCCTCTTCCAGTTCAGCTGGAAAATATGATTTAAATGAAATTAAATGAGTAGTGGTCAAAAGTGAACATTTAAGTGTTATAAGTAATTTGTTAAAAATCAGGGGTAAAAGTGTAGAAGAAATTTAATGCTCAGGTACTTGAGCCAAGACAGCAAGATGAAAAGAATGTAACTAATTGTTTTGGAAATTTTTTCTAAAAGAAAATAATAAAATAGAAAATTTACACTGGATTTTAGAATAGGAAATTTATAATACTTTTTATACCCTTCACCTTCGTAAGAAGGGTATATATACGTAAATATAATTTTCCGAACTGAGTCCTTATAGATAGCGGAGTTGATTAAGTTATGTTCGTCTGTCTGTCCGTACGTCTGTATGTTTGTTAAAATAAGATTTCTGAAAACCCCAGAGATCTTTGGGACTCAAATCTTCAACAATGAGACATACCTTCGAAAAGTTTCCTATTCAAAATAAGTAAAATCGGTCCATAAATAACCAAGATGCCTAGAAACATGAAATGAAAACCTATTAAGGGGACTTTTTGGTACTTTTTTGACCTTTAACTGGTACTTTTTGTGTTTTCTATAATATGGTACCAAGAATCATGAAATTAAGCACGTAGAGGCCTAAATGAGAATGAAATTAGATTTTTTATCTATTAAAAAAACAGTTACTCTTTAAAATAGGCGTATACTTAATATTTGTAATATCAATAAATCATTAACACGTATACGTATAGGTGTCGTTAATAAAAGCAGTGCAATTTCTCACTGTAGAACTTTTCACTTGAAATTACAAAAATGCATGACTTCGGACAAAACTAGGAGACACTGGTCTTTTTTGGGTATTTTATCACGAATTGTTGTACTTATATGGATATATTTTTTCATGTTGCACTGTGTAATCATACATATGTTTGTATCTTAAAATACCAACAACAATTATAATTGAGGTAAAGTAATAATACAAAAAGAGTATGATTTTACATTAACTTTTAAAAATCTGTTGAAAAACTTTCTTGGCCTTTAGCTAGAGGAGTTTTTCCTTATATTCCTTTCATTTGCATTTTGCAATAAGCTTCAGCATATTACTCATAAACAACAAAGTACAAATAACACAAAAGAACAACAAAAGTTTTAAGAGTAAAAAACAATATAGGAAAGAAATTGTGGGATTTTTTTTAACGGACTTAAAGATGAGGGAGTATATTGTTAACAATATCCTGAAGCTTTTTATTAAATTTTAATATCCACCAGCAAAAAGATTATTGATTTCACCAATATTGTCTCAAAAAGTGTTTGGTTTAATATTTTGTGAAAATTCATTTATAATATTTATTAGATGCCTAGAAAATGCAAAAGATTTTTCTTGTAGTTGTTGCTGTTTGCATCCTTATCCGAACCTTTCAAGAATCTATTTTACTAATCGTTTTTTTTTCTTTCTTTCTCGCAATTATTTGTTCCTTAATACTTTTACAAAAAATACCAAAAATTATAAAATAAAAACCACACAATTTAACCAATTTTCTATGAGTTTTTTTCCTTACAACTTGTTAGAAACAATATCAGTTTTTGTTGTTCATTTTGCCATAAAATACTACTCGTAGAAGAAAAGGAAAACAAATTGAAGAAATGAAAAGAATCGTGGTTTTTATGCTGATGTTGGTTTTATTCTGTGTTAAATTTTAACAAATTCTATACATTTATACATATTGTAGACATTGCACTATGGGTGTACTGTTGCAATAGTCAAGGATATTTTAAGAAACCTATCTTAAAACTCAAATAATTATTTTATCTATCAATCAATCAATCAATCAATCAATCATCAATCTAGCTATCTATCTATCTATCTATCTATCTATCTATCTATCGATCTATCTATCTATCTATCTATCTATCTATCTATCTATCTATCTATCTATCTATCTATCTATCTATCTATCTATCTATCTATCTATCTATCTATCTTCTATCTATCTATCTATCTATCTATCTATCTATCTATCTATCTATCTATCGATCTATCTATCTATCTATCTATCTATCTATCTATCTATCTATCTATCTATCTATCTATCTATCTATCTATCATCTATCTATCTATCTATCTATCTATCTATCTATCTATCTATCTATCTATCTATCTATCTATCTATCTATCTATCTATCTATCTATCTATCTATCTATCTATCTATCTATCTATCTATCTATCTATCTATCTATCTATCTATCTATCTATCTATCTATCTATCTATCTATCTATCTATCTATCTATCTATCTATCTATCTATCTATCTATCTATCTATCTATCTATCTATCTATCTATCTATCTATCTATCTATCTATCTATCTATCTATCTATCTATCTATCTATCTATCTATCTATCTATCTATCTATCTATCTATCTATCTATCTATCTATCTATCTATCTATCTATCTATCTATCTATCTATCTATCTATCTATCTATCTATCTATCTATCTATCTATCTATCTATCTATCTATCTATCTATCTATCTATCTATCTATCTATCTATCTATCTATCTATCTATCTATCTATCTATCTATCTATCTATCTATCTATCTATCTATCTATCTATCTATCTATCTATCTATCTATCTATCTATCTATCTATCTATCTATCTATCTATCTATCTATCTATCTATCTATCTATCTATCTATCTATCTATCTATCTATCTATCTATCTATCTATCTATCTATCTATCTATCTATCTAGCTATCTATCTATCTATCTATCTATCTATCTATCTATCTATCTATCTATCTATCTATCTTTCTTTCTACCTTATTTTGGAAACTGTACACACATCTAAATTCAGACCTACAGTGCATCTGGTAGAGTCTAAATGAAGAAACTGCAGTACATTTCTTCTTTTTTTTAGACAACTTCATCTTGCATTTGTCTTGTGTATATGAAAAGATATTTAAAGGGGTTTATTCAGAAACGAGGGTGGTACCTAAAGTTGAATATTAATTAGGGAATATGTGTTTAAGACTAAAGTAATCTACCCTCGTAGTTAAGCTATTGTTTTAAGAAATCTGTACTTAGTTGGTCAATGAAACTGGCAGAAGACAATAATACACATCCACCAATATGCATGATGAATGCTGTAATAGTGATGATGCTGTTGGGTATAGGTGGTAGAAATCCTGATGGTAATGGTATTAATGTTAAACTTGTTATATCCTACACTTCTATAGTAAGGAAAGTATTATGTATTTGCACTGGTACACACAGAAAAAAGATCGATTGGAAATCGATCACAGTTATAATTATTTGTTTACTATAAGAGAAAAATAGTTGTAGTTATTAAAAAACAATACATTCAACATATTTTATATAATTACAACTGAAAAAACATAACTGTGATGGAACTAGGGTTCGCCTAACTAGTAATTCAGTTAATCTAACCAACTTGAGCTTTATAAACGGTTATTTTAATTATATTATTTAGCAAGATCGAATTAAATATATAATTATTTGCTTTAACTGTAAATATCAGTACTTGTAATCAAAATTTTGATTATTAATGCCAAACATTTGTTTTTAGTTATGGTACCAAAATAATTCAATTAAATCTATATAAAGTTCGGTTATCTTGATAAAATAAAGAATAATTCGGTATTTCCAACCGAATTCAATATACATGTGATTAAGTTTACTTGACATTTAAAAAAAAAATTAGTACTAAAATAATAAGGAAATAAAAAAGAGCAAAATTTTATAAATAAAATGAAAAATTGCAAATAATTGGAAGTTTTGCAGATTTTTACGAACAATTGTAAGTTAATAAAACTATTTCCTTTTAAAATATAGAGAATAAACATTATACGTTTATTTTCAGAACGCTGTGTGCCCATAACTACAATTGATCATATTAAATTTGAAAACTCCTAATATCAAGATCATCTCAACTACAAATGTGTGTAAGCTGTGTAGTTTTTAGTGTTATATCATTACTACAATTCTTTTTTTTTTTCATAGAAAAGCCAACGGAAACCTCCTTCCTAGAGAAGGAGGTTTCGGCTGGTGGAAAAAGGCAAACTGCAGCAAAACCCGCCTTTGATAGTAAGCTCCTAGCAAGAAGAAGCTTGCTGCTGACAAGAAGCTCCATGGCTCGTGCTGCTGCTAAGTACAATAAAGTTGCTACCAAACCTGGCTCGAAGGTACAAAACGGTACCACGAAGGCTAAGGCTGTAGCTTTGTTGAAGGCTAAAAAGACTCAGACCGATATTATCAAGAGCGCTTTCATTACCTGTGTACGTAAGACATTAAAATTGGCCCGCAACCCCAATTACCCAAGGAAATATATACCAACCATAAATTGCATCAAATACATCGATGGTTAAAGAAGGCTTATTTTCACCTGCCTGTGATTATGATCTGGTGGGCATCGCGAATAAGATTGGCATCATATATGTAAATTGTCAATTCCAAATATTTTATTATGTTTCTTTTCAGTAGAAATGTAGACGTAAACTAAAAAATGTAAGTACGTTCATAAATAAATTAGGTTTTGTGAATTAGTAAGATCTGTAACAATATGTAAATATGAAACAAGAAATACTGCAAAGTACGTTTTATTTAAAATATTGCAGTTTCGCGCTATCAATGGATTTATGAACGTACAGTAAGGATTGAATTTAAAATGTAAAAACAAATTATATGTACATGCATATCTACTAGGAAATAAAAAAAATTCAAATAAATATAAAACAATACGAGTATTTTTATTGGTTACTAATATTGATAGTTTCGGTCACCGTAACCGAATTGTATTTTAAAATAAGTAATTATGACAACTACTTAATCAATGACTTCAATCGATAATTCGGTGCTAACAACTTACCTATGTTCTAAAAACATAATTTTAACAAATGAAATATTCGGTAATTGCAACCAATTTATGTGGTAGTTGTTGTAACCGACCAAATTCGATTGGAAACAAATTCGGTTGTGGCAACGAATCTGTTTTCTCTGTGTATTTATAAAATCCCAAACATTGATTTGAATAAAAAAATCGGGCTTATTTTGAGATCTCCCTTATTTGGTCTCAAAAATCGAAAACATAAACTCGGCAGTAACAGACTTTGAAAATCATTTATAGCTTATGTAGGGTATCAATAAGGTATTCGTTTTTTTTCTTAATTTTTTGGTAAAAATTGTATCTTGTTATGTCCTACTATCCGTTTGCTTTGTATAGAAAATCATTGTTTCTATAAAGATGCATTACTTTATTTCTTTTTTATTTGGGTTTTAGTCTTGAGAATTTTATTTCCCAATCTTTTTTAACCAGTTCCTACTATGCACTTTCAAATGCATACAACTACTTCATAGTGTTTAATTTTTATTATTTTTGTATTTTTTTTAGTTGCAAGTTTTTTTTTTGGTTTTTGTGGTCTATTTTAAGGAATATAATTAAATAGAAAGAGTGGTTTAGGATTTTGTTGTGTTTTTCTTAGAAGCTTAGATTGCAGAATTTTCTTTCACTTCCTACATAAAATGCTTTGAAAATTGCATTCTATTTTTGGTTTGTTGTGGAAAAACAACAGAAAAAGAAAATCTACTAAAAATGGACCAAAAAAAAAAAAGAAGAAAATAATTCTACAGAGTTGGTGTCATGTTAAATCAGGCACGTTTTTGATACATACTTTGTATGTTTGTGTGTATGCATGTTGCTGTCTATGTTACGGTATTTAAAGGAAGGAATAATTATTTTTAATGAGGCTTGATATTGTATGGAATATTATGGGTGAAAGAAAAGGTGTTGTATAAAGACATAAGATAAAGATGGTGAGTAGTTTGAAGAAAATAGATAATTTTAAAATGAAACTTGAAGAAATTAGATAATTTGAATGCTGCCAATTTCAACTAGAACTGAACTAGAACTGAACTAGAACTGAACTAGAACTGAACTAGAACTGAACTAGAACTGAACTAGAACTGAACTAGAACTGAACTAGAACTGAACTAGAACTGAACTAGAACTGAACTAGAACTGAACTAGAACTGAACTAGAACTGAACTAGAACTGAACTAGAACTGAACTAGAACTGAACTAGAACTGAACTAGAACTGAACTAGAACTGAACTAGAACTGAACTAGAACTGAACTAGAAACTAGAACTGAACTAGAACTGAACTAGAACTGAACTAGAACTGAACTAGAACTGAACTAGAACTGAACTAGAACTGAACTAGAACTGAACTAGAACTGAACTAGAACTGAACTAGAACTGAACTAGAACTGAACTAGAACTGAACTAGAACTGAACTAGAACTGAACTAGAACTGAACTAGAACTGAACTAGAACTGAACTAGAACTGAACTAGAACTGAACTAGAACTGAACTAGAACTGAACTAGAACTGAACTAGAACTGAACTAGAACTGAACTAGAACTGAACTAGAACTAGAACTGAATGAACTAGAACTGAACTAGAACTGAACTAGAACTGAAACTAGAACTGAACTAGAACTGAACTAGAACTGAACTAAACTGAACTAGAACTGAAGTAGAACTGAAGTAGAACTGAACTAGAACTGAACTAGACTGAACTAGAACTGAACTAAACTGAACTAGAAGAACTAGAACTGAACTAGAACTGAACTAGAACTGAACTAGAACTGAACTAGAACTGAACTAGAACTGAACTAGAACTGAACTAGAAACTGAACTAGAATGAACTAGAACTGAACTAGAACTGAACTAGAACTGAACTAGAACTGAACTAGAACTGAACTAGAACTGAACTAGAACTGAACTAGAACTGAACTAGAACTGAACTAGAACTGAACTAGAACTGAACTAGAACTGAACTAGAACTGAACTAGAACTGAACTAGAACTGAACTAGAACTGAACTAGAACTGAACTAGAACTGAACTAGAACTGAACTAGAAACTGAACTAGAACTGAACTAGAACTGAACTAGAACTGAACTAGAACTGAACTAGAACTGAACTAGAACTGAACAAGAACTGAACTAGAACTGAACTAGAACTGAACTAGAACTGAACTAGAAACTGAACTAGAACTGAACTAGAACTGAACAAGAACTGAACTAGAACTGAACTAGAACTGAACTAGAACTGAACAAGAACTGAACTAGAACTGAACTAGAACTGAACTAGAACTGAACTAGAACTGAACTGGAACTGAACTAAACTGAACTAGAACTGAACTAGAACTGAACTAGAACTGAACTAAAACTGAACTAGAACTGAACTAGAACTGAACTAGAACTGAACTAGAACTGAACTAGAACTGAACTAGAACTGAAATAAACTGAACTAGAAACTGAACTAGAACTGAACTAGAACTGAACTAGAACTGAACTAGAACTGAACTAGAACTGAACTAGAACTGAACTAGAAACTGAACTAGAACTGAACTAGAACTGAACTAGAACTGAACTAGAACTGAACTAGAACTGAACAAGAACTGAACTAGAACTGAACTAGAACTGAACTAGAACTGAACTAGAACTGAACTAGAACTGAACTAGAACTGAACTAGAACTGAACTAGAACTGAACTAGAACTGAAACTAGAACTGAACTGAAGAACTAGAATGAACTAGAACTGAACTAGAACTGAACTAGAACTGAACTAGAACTGAACTAGAACTGAACTAGAACTGAACTAGAACTGAACTAGAACTGAACTAGAACTGAACTAGAACTGAACTAGAACTGAACTAGAACTGAACTAGAACTGAACTAGAACTGAACTAGAACTGAACTAGAACTGAACTAGAACTGAACTAGAACTGAACTAGAACTGAACTAGAACTGAACTAGAACTGAACTAGAACTGAACTAGAACTGAACTAGAACTGAACTAGAACTGAACTAGAACTGAACTAGAACTGAACTAACGAACTAGAACTGAACTAGAACTGAACTAGAACTGAACTAGAACTGAACTAGAACTGAACTAGAACTGAACTAGAAACTGAACTAGAACTGAACTAGAACTGAACTAGAACTGAACTAGAACTGAACTAGAACTGAACTAGAACTGAACTAGAACTGAACTAGAACTGAACTAGAACTGAACTAGAACTGAACTAGAACTGAACTAGAACTGAACTAGAACTGAACTAGAACTGAACTAGAACTGAACTAGAACTGAACTAGAACTGAACTAGAACTGAACTAGAACTGAACTAGAACTGAACTAGAACTGAACTAGAACTGAACTAGAACTGAACTAGAACTGAACTAGAACTGAACTAGAACTGAACTAGAACTGAACTAGAACTGAACTAGAACTGAACTAGAACTGAACTAGAACTGAACTAGAATGAACTAGAACTGAACTAGAACTGAACTAGAAAACTGAACTAGAACTGAACTAGAACTGAACTAGAACTGAACTAGAACTGAACTAGAACTGAACTAGAACTGAACTAGAACTGAACTAGAACTGAACTAGAACTGAACTAGAATGAACTAGAACTGAACTAGAACTGAACTAGAACTGAACTAGAACTGAACTAGAACTGAACTAGAACTGAACTAGAACTGAACTAGAACTGAACTAGAACTGAACTAGAACTGAACTAGAACTGAACTAGAACTGAACTAGAACTGAACTAATAACATTGGTGTAGAGAATAAAACATTCAAATGTTTCAAGGAACCATTCCATTACATCTAACCACCTATTTTCATTCCTACTTTTGCCAATCACGAAAACATTTTTCATTTGAGTATTTTCCATTTCTTGTTTGATTAATGACCAAGTTTATTTTTCGTTTTTTTTTTTTTTTTTGCAATTTTGGGCTAGCAATTTAAAGCATCATTTGCGTTTTCAATTTTATTATCCTTTTCACTAAACTTTGTAATTTGCCATACACCTTTAATGCTCATACTGCAAACCTTCTCCCCAGCAACTAAAATATCAGCCAAAAAAGGATATAAAAGGAGCAAACAGAGAAAAAATAGAAATATCGTGTTAAAATCATCGAAATCATAATTAAGCCCAAAGGAGAAAAACTTTTGTCGTCATTTTTGAAATATTAACTTTTTCTAAAACAATTATTATTGTTGCTATTGCTGTTGGTGATGTTGGTGGTGATAGTTTTGTCACTAATAAATAAAGCAGTCAAAAGAGAATTGCTGATTCAATTACTGGCAAACGATAAAACTTTCTACATTAGCAGGAACACACTCATTCCCTTGTAAGCAAAGACAGACGACAGAAATTGCTATAGCAACTGAAAAAAAATGTCTTTAAAGGGAAATTTATTTTAGAAAACCACAAATCTAACACTTGACCAACAACAATTTTGGCATTTAGTTTTTTTTTTTAGGTTTTTCATAACTAAAATTATGCACCACTTG